TTTTTTTTTTTTTTTTTTCCCCAAAGCCCCAGTAGATAGTTGTATGTCACAGTTGCACATCCTTCCAGTTGCTGTATATGGGACGTGGCCAGCATGGCCGGAGAAGTGGTGCGTCGGTGCGCGCCCGGGATCCGAACCCCGGGCCGCCAGTAGCAGAGCGCCCGCACTTAACCGCTAAGCCACGGGGCCGGCCCTAGCCTGCTACTTCTTACGGTGGCTCCAACTCTTAGGAAGATCTCATCTGCCTCCCTGTCACTTCTCTGTGAAGGGCCTGGGTCCTCCACTCTTGAGTCAGGCTGGCCAGCACGTGGGGCACAGAACTCGGCCCCCAAGTCCTCCAGGTGATGTCTAGGCTGTGTTGTGATCTGGCCGGGTGCCAGGCTGTTGTTGATTTGTTTCTTCATTTGGCAGACATTTGCTGAGTCCCTACCCACAGCTGTATGTGTACTGGCCTGTCGCTTGGGTGCCTGCAAAGTGGGCTCTGTTGCCTTAAGTGGGCACCTCTCGAGGCTCCAACCCTTTTGTCCCCAACAGCCAGGCCCCCCACCGAGCTCAGACTCCCATTCCACCTGGCTGGGTGGTTGTGAGATGCTGCAAGGCCTTCAGGGGGCCTGGACCTGGTGGCAAGGGTGCAGCCCGGGGTCAGGGGTACCGACTCTGCTCCCTGCCCTCCTCTCCCCAGATGATGGTAAGCTCTCATTTGAGGAATTCCAGAATTACTTTGCCGATGGGGTTCTCAGCCCAGGGGAGCTGCGGGAGCTGTTTAGCGGCATTGATGGGCATCCCACCGAGTGAGTACGTGAGGGGGATGGATGAGCCATGGTTAGATGTGAAGCCGGATTGTCCCAACTCCACTGTGTCCCCTGCTGCCTTGGTTCCTTATGGAGGCTGGGGTCAGGGGTTTCAGGGAGAGGGGTGCCAGGGCTTGATGCCAACTTTACCCGCCCGCCCACCCGCTCCCTGGCTCCAGCCTTGCCCATCACACTGCTTCCAGCTGGGACCCCAAAATAGCCAGGCCTGAGTCACCACCCGTGGTTCAGCCCACAGGTGCCCCCCCACTCCCACTTCCTGCAGGGACCAGAGGATGCCTGGGGACAGCTGGGCCCCGCCTGCTTCTCCCCGTGGCTGCAGGTGCATGAGCACACACGCTCCTCCCCACGGGTGCGCCCACGTCTGCAGGCCTCAGCACGAGTCTGCGTGCTTCTCCCCCCTGCTTCCTCACGTCCTGCACACGCGTACACAGCTGTCTCTCCCTCACTTCCCTCCCCCGACCCCACCTCCTCAGGATAAATTCCAGAGGCTCCCGTGCCCTCCCTTGTTCTGAGGCTTGGGCTGGACCCTTTGCAGTGCTACCACCCTCCGCCACTAGGTACTCCAGTCATATTTCTTGTCCTTCAAGGCCTAACTTAGGCAGCCCCTCCTCCAGGAAGCCCTCCCTGACCTAACAAGTAATACCCCATGCCTTCTCTGGACTTCCCCAGCCCCGTCTTCCTCTTCCCGGCTCTGACCACTCCCCTCTGGCCCGTGTCCATGGCTGTCTCTCCTGGCCTGAAATCCCCTTAGAGGCTAAGAGGGGGCCTGAGCTTGAGAGTGTCTGAGGGGGCAGAGTACCCTTGCCCCCCTGGCCCCAAAGCCTCTGCCCGCAGAGCGACTTAACCTGGGCTGGAGGCAGGGAGTCGCCTCCTTGTCAGACTGAGCTTGGGGCGGGGAGAGGGAATGGCTTCAAAGTTCCAGTTCACAAAGTCCCAGGCCCAAGTCTGAGGGTCTCAAGGGTGCGTTCTTTTCCCTGCAGCAACTTGGAAACGGAGAAACTGTGTGGTGAGTAGGGCCACAGGAGCTCTTGTCTCCTGGGCCCCTGGGCAGGTGGGTGTGGAGAGGAAGCTGTTGCTGGTGTCCTGGTGGAACAGGATGGGCTGAGCTCAGGCTATGAGGCCTGGTTCGCTGCTGAGGAATTCCAGGTTGGGTAGATGGGGGGCAGGGGGGGCTTGGGGAACCCTTGAGTACCTCCTCTGCCCGCAGACTACTTCTCAGGACACCTGGGTGTCTACCAGCCCGTGCTGGCTGCGCTGGAGTCGCTGAACCGGGCAGTGCTCACTGCCATGGACACCACCAAGCTGGTGAGTGGAGGGGCTGATGGTGGGGGGCCCAAAACGAGGGCAGGGGTGTCTGCTGTGCTGTGGGAGCCTCTGCCATCGTGGCTCAGGACTGTGGAGCTAGGGGCCTGGGTTTAAATCCTGGCTCTCCCACTTTCTGGCTGTGCATCTTTACCTCTCTGGGCCTCAGTTTCCTCATCTGTAAACGGGGTACTAAGAGAGGCTACTTCCATACATTTGTTGTGACAATTAAATGAGAGTGAAGGCAGGGATTTTGTCTATCTTGTTCTCTGTTCCCAGCACCCAGCACTATGCCTGGCACACAGTCTTAATACTTGGAGTTTGTATTACCGGCTAGCTCTGACTGTTGAGGGAGGTGAAGCCTAGGACCTGCGGGGAGAGGCGGTGGTGAGGCATGCTCACGCACGTCCACAGGCCCGTGCTGGTGTTCGGAGCCCGGTGGGGCGGGGCTAGGCCTGAGGACACGCGTGAGTGGGCAGGCACATGTGCACCCGTGTGTTTGTGTGCACGCGTGGACAAGCGTAAACAGTGCTCACAGCCAGGACTCCAGGCCCGTGGATGGTGACTTCAGAGAACCACAAGCTGCCCCTCCCTTTGTGTGTTCCTTTTAAGAAATGTCTCCCCCTCCCTTGGTCCCATAGCTCTTAATAAGGGGGCAGGAGGGAGCAGTGAGCAAGCCTGGGGTTGTGCCTGTCCCTACTTTTTACAAGAAGGGGAAACTGAGGCCCTCAGCAAGTCAGTGATCAGCTGAGGACAGGCTTCCCCCACTGGTTGCTTTCACATGGGATTTAGTAGCTTTTCAAAGGGACAGCTCTCGGGGCCTGGCATGGGATGGGAATCCAAATGCTACATGATGCGGGGTTGGTGTGTTGAGCGACTTCCATGTTTGGCCTGGACCCAAATGTGGGCATCGCCTTCCTTGTTGCCATGGAAACAGGACCCTGGGGTGGGCATCTGGACTGGCATTCTCTGAACTGGAACTGGTTAGGGGGATTCAAACTGCAGGTCAAAGTGATGGCCCCGGGCCCTGACCACCTCATCCTGGCCCAGAAAGGGCCAGGGGGTGACCCATCATCACACAATGACTCTGCCAGCTCTAGTCACTTGGGACTTTTATTTGGCACTCGATGCCTCCGATAGAGCTTCAGCTCAGCCCGCCCAGTCCCTGCTTCTGCAGCCCCCGCCCTCCGTGGCACTAGCCCCTCCAGTCCAACATGACTGGCTCAGTTGAACACTTCGTGCACCAGCCTGGAACCACACTCCTGGTACATGGCTCGGGTCATCCAGCGGCATTGGAAGGAGCGCAGCGAGGCCACCATAGAGCCGCCTGTCCACACCGCTGTGCCACGCCCAGGCTTGGCCACCAGGCGTGGCTGCATTGCCCCATAGCCATGCCGCCGGCACTGGGCCTGCAGCTCCATCTCCAGGCGCTCAGGAAAGCCTGGGAAAAGTGTGGAGCCACCGGCCAGCACCACAGTGTTAGCCAGCCGTGTCCGCAGGGTTGCCGGCACCCTCTGCAGTGCTCGGAAGGCCATTGTGGGCAGTCCTGGCTCAGCTTGGCCTAGCAGACTGGGCTGGAAGATAGGTTCCGGGCAGCGGAAGCGCTCACTGCTGAGGCAGACGGAGCCCCCATTGCCCAAGCAGAAACTGGCTGGCTGGTGGCGGGCAGGGTTGTGGAGGTCACCCTCGAAGTCCAGCGATACATAGCAGCAGCGCTTCTTGAGCTGGGTGACGGCCTTGCGGGGCAGGGCCTGCAGCCGTAGCTCGGGGCACGCAGCCACCAGCAGGTCCCGCAGGTAGCGCGACAGGGTGCTGCCTGCTACGTCCAGCCGGAAGGTGGCCTCGTGCCACGAGTGGCCGGCATAGATGGGCGTGGCGTGGCACACGCCCGCGCCCGCCTCCACGGCCAGCCCGCTGAACGCGCCGGTGGAGGAGAGCGCCAACAACGCGGTGCTGGCCAAGTGGCACGCGGGCACTGCCAGGGCCTCGAACAGCAGCTCGGCCACGCGCTCGCGGCCCGCGGGCGGCGCGGAGGGTGAGTCGCTCACCAGCACGGGCCACTGCTCTGGGCACACCCGCAGGCCGCCCACCAGCAGGCGCTCCCACAGGCCCTCCAGCGCCTCCCAGTCCACCACCACGCCGTGCTTGATGGGGTGCGCCCGCGCCACGCCGCCCGCCAGCTCGCAGCCCAGCGCCCCAGGCAGCACGGGCCGGTCCCAGCTGGGCACCAGGCTGGAGCTCTTCAGCACCAGGCGCGGCTGGTCCTCGCCCGCGAAGCCCGCCTTGGTGAAGCCGGAGCCCTGGTCCACCACCACCGCGACGCGGCCCAGCGAGGGCGGCCGGCGGACCCCGCGGCTCCTCGACACCGACGCCACGGTCCGGGCTCCGCCCCGCCCCGCGGCCACAGGCTCCGCGCCCGGGGGCTCGGTCCCGCCCCCGGCCTGAGACCCCAGCTCTCGGCTCTGCCCCCTGGGCCTAAGTCCCCGCCTCTCTGGCCAGATAACGCTCGCTCTCGATTCTTGGCTCTGACCTCCGGTCCTGGGGCCCTGCTCTTCTGGCCAGAGGGGATGTCTCCTTTCAGCTCTGGGCTCCGCCTGTAGGCCTGAGGCCCCGCCTCTGGCTCAAGTGTCAGGCTCCACCTTCGCTGGGCTACGGCCGTTTCTTGCCGTCTTCGCCTCCTGTGGCTCACGGCTCAAGGGTCCACCTTGCACCAGGCCCCACCGTTTCTTTGAGGACATGCCTCTGCCGTGCGGCTCCGCCCCCTGAGCCCTTGCGGAGGTGGATGATCACAGGGCCAGGCCAAATCCTTTCAGATATTGAGAAGCCACCAGGAGCGGCAGAGTTCTGAAAATGAAGGGGCCTTGTGGCAATGTCATCCCCACGTAAATCCCACCTTGGGGACCCAGGACTCCAGCCCAGTCCTTGAGCCCAGGTAGTCTGGGACCTCTCACCTGGGCTTGACCGAAGTAGTTCCTGGTCGTGGAGGTGGGAGGGGGTGATCGGAGAAGGAAGGAAAAGAACTTGGACTCATTGTGACCTCAGACCTCAGCACTTGCTGCGCTTCCGCAGCGCTCTCACCCAAAGAAAACTCCCTGGACTTATCCTCTCCCCTGGGACAGGGCCAAAGGCAGTGATTTTGGCATCCAGGGGTCTGGCCTCAGGTGCCCAGCACAACCAATCTGATTCCTTCCCCAAACCACTTCGGATTATCCGATGTACTCTGGCCAGATGTGCGGCCCCTTCCCTCTCAACGCTGAAGAGAAAGCTCTTAATCACAGATCTACAGCCACTCTTGAGGATCTCTGTGTGCTCAGCCTTGAGGGGCCCAGGCAGCCCACAGAGGAACCCTACCTCCAGGGGCTTCCACATATGGACTCCGGAGGGCCTGAGTTTGTGACTCAGTTCTGAAGCTGACTCACCGTGCACCCCTGAGCAAGTCCTGATCTCTCTCTTGGCTCAGTTTCTTCATCCAAAAGGTAGTAACCCTCATGCACAGGAAAGAGGCCACTTCTTATTTATGCAGAGTCTCATGATTCTCTTTAGGACCATTTTGGTTGCAATTTGAATATCCACTCAGATGAGCTTAAGCTAAAATGATTTTATTACAAAGATCTTGCATGTCTTACGGATACCAAGGGCAAGGGTGAAATCAGCTTTCGGGAACAGACTGGAAGCAGGGCTTGATTGCAGGGCTGTGGGGAAACCCAGGATGTGCGCTGGATCTGCATTGTGTGTTTATTCTTTTGAAGACTGGCTTCAGCCTGTGCATGTTCATGTAGAAAACACAGTCTCTTACAGCTCATAATTACAGTCCCAGGGAAGGAACTGATAGGACCAGTTTGAGCCAATCGCTTATGGCCAGAAGGGGTGGCCACACTCAAGAACATGCTTACCTTGGTTGTAACCATGTGGATGGTAGTGAAGGGTCAGTTCTCACAAATAGCGGGAGAGATGCTATTGGTCGTGCAACCTCCAGCTTGATGCAGGAGATGTGGAGGGGTTGTTGATCAGGTTGACACTGACAAAAGAGCATCTTCAGCAGAAGCTGGACCTGTGGCTTTAGTGAGCTGGGACCTTCACCCCTGCTGCATCTGCCCCCAAAGGGGACATTCTGAGGTTGGTCGCCAGTGGAAGGCAGGCTGCAGGTTCGGCAGGGCTAGGGGGGCACTAGGGTCTGGAGCTGGGTTTGGGACCCAGGAAAGTGAGGAGAAGCAGCTGGGTCCTGCCCACAGAAAGTGTGCCAGGCCTCTCTTGGGTGATTTAGGGAGGTGAGCCTCGGATTGGAGACAAGTGGCAATGTGGCCAGAGCAGGGGTGAGGGTGGAAGTCACTGAGAAGCCCTAGAGAGGAAGGCCGAGGCTGGGGGCTGGGCCTGCACATCCCCGATAATAGGTTTGGGTGCCCCGGTGGGCAATGGAGAACCACTGCGAGCTGATGAGCATGAACTGCTCTACAGAGAGATGAATGGTTTGGAAGAAACCTTTGCCTGCCATGTGGGGAAGGGGATGGGATGGGATAGGTTGAGACAAGTAACTGAGGTACCTTAGGGGTTATGAAGCGGAGTGGGGTAGGAATTAGGGGTCAGAGGTGGAGGAAAGCCGCCTCTCCTCCCAGGTGCTCTCACGCAGAATGAGCGTCTCAGGCCCACCCCTGCTGGCCGTGGGACAGTTCTTCTCCCGGGTGGTGGCTGTTTGCCTGGGATCCTCCCTCTGCCTAAGAAGGACTTGTGAATGCTGGGGACTCTTGGAGATATCAGGCCTCTGCTGGAAGCAGGCCCCTCCTCCTAGCGTGGCCAGCTGGTTTGCCCAAGCTCATCTCCTTTGGGCCTGCAGACCTGGCAGGGTCTGCCACTGGCCGGGGGTGGGGGTGGGGAACAGCCTCCCTCCACTGAGACAGGGTGCCCCCTCCCCAGCTCTGGGCAGGGGTTCTGATCCGTGGGTCACAAGGAAGGAGAAGGCAAAAACAGCCCTGGCTCCAGACCCTGGCCGTTGCTCTACCCTGAGTACGCCTGTTCATCTCTGTCTCGCTCTGGGCCTCAGTTTCTCGCCCCGCCCCCCGGCTCCGCGCCCTGACGCCTCAGACAGAGCTAGCCGGCGCCAGGGTTGCTATGCGCTCTTTATTGGGCCGGGTCCTGGGGCCGGAAGGCCGGGCCAGCGCTCAGGGCCGCGGGCAAGGGCAGCGGCG